TTTTTTTTTTTTTTTTTTAAGTTTAATGTAAAAGAAATAATATTTTTCTATTTTCTATTATTCTTTTTTATTTTACAGTGAAATATTATAATAGTAATATTTCCTGTTGTAGTAATTTTTAATTTTATATAATTTTAATAATAATAATTTTAAGCCCTATTGATATAAAATTCAAAAACATCAGACAAATCCTGCAATCCTACAAACAAGCAGTTTTTTTAACCGTTTAATGTAAAATAAATGATATTTTTCTATTTTCTATTATTATTTGTTTTACAGTGAAATATTATAATAGTAATGTTTCTTGTTTTATTATTTTTATATATTTTTTAATTTTAATGATAACAGTTATTGTTTTTAAGCCATATTGATATAAAACGGAAAAACACCAGACAAATCATGCAATCCTACAAACAAGCACAACAGGAAAGTTTCTTTTTAAAATAATATTTTATTTTGTAATACTACTACTACTACTACTACTTATTATTATATTATAGTTATATTGATATATGATCACAAAATGTTGGCCAAATTGTGTTAAATCACATTTAAATTGGAGTCAAATTTTTGTTGCAATTCAAATCCTGCAGTTTTACTTCAGAGTCCGTTTTTGCTCTCCAAAATGACACGTGGTAGCTAAGTTTAATCTAACTTTTTTTTTTTGGTCTGTTCTTTATAGAAGGAAGTCAACCTGCGCTGTGTGACCTGTCAGTATGAATTTGCCACCAGGAACAAACTTTTCGATCACCTGAAGACCACGGGCCACGCCACCGCCCTCTCCTCCGGTAACACTGCCCAAACGTGCAAGAAAAAGAAGGACGCCAGGAAGAACAGATAACGAGAGGCACATTTGAAACACATTTGCACACTGATGTACATTTGTCCAAGAAAACAAAACCTCTGCTGTTTTTTACAGCTTGATATGCAGTTGTGCATCAGGAAGCGTGTGTATTTCTGTCCCTAGAAGAATGAATTTGTGCCCCATGGGCTGACATTTCTTTTGTAACACTCCATATGCCAAAAGTTTTCCCTAGAACTGCCATTTATTCCCACCATCATTGATGTGTAATCTGGTGCCTCAGAGCTCTTCTGTAGGCAAATGAGACTTGGATATTTTGGAGTTGGCCGTGCATGTTTTGTTTCGTTTTTAGGAGATTAAAAATAATGATCTTGCTACTAAAGATGGCACATTTTATGTCAGGTTTAGTTGCGTTTTCATAGTCACCATTCCAGACTGGTAACTTTAAATGAAAACGTACTTACGTGAGTCAGAACACTTAGCGTGCGCTGAGGCCGGGCTAGAGTGAGCTGAGACTGGGCTAGCGTGAGCGAAAGCCCCGGCTTAGCGTGAGCAGAGGCCGGGCTAGCGTGAGCTGAGGCGGCGGGGTCGAGAACGGCAACCCCTTTTTAAAAGATAGTTTGAACCAGATTTTTTGTTTTTATGCATTATTTTATTTTTAATGTATAAAATCAATGGACGTAGCTGTACCTGTAAAACAACACAAACCTGTTATAGCAAGTATATCATGCTGTATTGTTAGATACTAAAATAATTTTGTACCAACTAATTTTGTTTGACTTTACTGATTCTTGGATTAGTATACTTTATTACATGACAGTAACATGACTAGTATTATTCATGTTTTTCTACAACACTTCCTTGTGGCAAAGTCAGAGTACTGCAGCTATTTGAACATCTAAGCTGCAATAATAATAAAAGCACCGAAATATAAAGAAATGCCAAATCACATGCAGGTTTTTTCAGACCGGAGACCATAATCGTGTAATAATTTATTTTATTATGATATGAAACGTCCAATTTTTCTTTCAATAATGATTTTTAAAGTTTTGCAAGAATTTCGTGATACTAAACGTTTTATTAGTTGTCATAGCAAGTGATTTTAAAAGTAGGATGGCTCACTTTTTTAGAAGATGACTGAAAATTTTACTTGAATTCGTACTTTATTCTTACTTTTGGAAACCTAATTGTTTTATAATTACTACTACTACTATTATTATTATTATTTCTGTTGTTTCTAGAAGTAGTAATTTTGATAATAATCAATAGAAAATATATAACCACACACACATTGTTTGTCCACAGAATAATTACGCATTATTAGATAAAAAGAGTCCCGCACGAACCTCTACCTCTGCCAACAGGACCTCAGTTTCAGACTCAGTAAAGTTATTTTTTCCTCCTTTGTGCTCGTGCTTGTGCATCAAGCATAGAAAGTCGGATATTGGCATGTGCTCTTTTATATGGTAATGATATTAATTAGGGGGCGTTTACAAAGGCCGTTTTCGTTTTCTCTGAATCGCACTTACGCACTTTTGAGAAATGATCTTAGAGCAAATTTAGGACGGTTTATACGCAACATTTTATAAATGAGGCCCCTGGTCTTAGATGGTCAGCTAGGCCACAGAGACAAAGCTCAAGTGCTTATAAATACCTTGTGAAGGTGCTACGTTTCTGAAGTATAGTGTACTCAAGTGAAGTGAAAAGTGAAGCGAGAAGAGGCTCAATAAGAAGAGCTCTTGACATATCGCTCTCATACATCAAGGAATGTGAGTGTGAAATTGTGTTTGTTGCCTTTGGTGGTTTTTAGATGAACTGCGCAGACCTGTTATGTAATGTATAAATGTTAACACTTTAGTAAAGGGACTCAACTAGTTCATCAACTAGTTACTTATTAGCATGCCTTATTAACATATTGGCTGTTTATTAGTGCTTATAAAGCACATATTCTACATGACCATATTCTATATCCCTAATCCTACTTGATACCTAAACTTAACAACTACATTACTAACTATTAATAAGCAGCAAATTAGGAGTTTATTGTGGCAAAAGTCATAGTTAATGGTTTGTTAATGGCCAGAATTGGACCTTAAAATAAAGTGAGACCGTATAATTCTCCAGATGAAATATGAGCCAGTGTGTCTTCATCATGTTCTGCATGTCTTATCTTCTCTCCATGTAGTTTTGCACTGCCTGAGTGAACACAGCGAGGAAGAAGTCTGCGTCGTCTTTAGTTATGCACATAGGAGGCTTGATCCTGAAAGTCTGGAAAAGAACAGGTGAGATAGGGGAAAAACATTTGAGGAAAAAGTAGAATGAGCAAGACTAAGATTAAAAGATTTGAAAATAAGCTTTAAATGTATATATACTCTAATGAACAGGTTTGACTACTTTAGTCATTTCCATGAGTACAAATCTTAATGTTTAAGCAAATAATGATATTCTAGGGAATTGAGTGCTTCTAATTGTATACCAATAGTTTGAACAGGACCATTTTCTATTCTAACACGTCAATGCCTCTGTGTATAAGGCAAGGTTAAAAAAAAAGACTGATTGAGTCAGTCAGTGTGGAAGAACTTGACTGGTCTGCAGAAAACTCATCACCAAACACCAATGACTTGTACAAAAAGTATTGGGACACCCCCTTCTTTAGAACAGAAAAAGGCACTTCCAAAGCTGTGGTAACAAAGATGGAAACATAATTAATGTATTTAAAAACTGTATTTCCATCTCTGTTGCAACAGTTTTGGAAGTGTCTAAAATGACTGTAGCAAGGCATGGTCATGTTAAAATAGAAAAGGGTCCTGTCCAAACTGTTGCTATAAAATTAGAAGCACACAATTCCCTAGAATATCATTATATGCTTAAACATTAAGATTTGTACTCATGGAAATTACTAAAGTAGTCAAACCTGTTCATTAGAAGGGGGTGTCCCAATACTTTTGGCAATACAGTGTATATAAAATGTTCCCAATTTGACCTAAAACAAAAAAGCATCTAGTACAATTCTGCATTTTATTTGACTAAAATATAACAAAAAAGCAAATCAAAATGTATTCAGTTTTTATATTTTTTAAAATAAATTAAAAACGTAATTTATAAATATACAATTTGTGTGTGTATATATATATATATATATATATATATATATACAGGTGCATATCACT